AATCATCTCTCTTTGTCAAGCAGTCAGTATGTTACCACGGAAATTTCCCCATGAGCTGCTCCTTAGATACACATCTAGTGAGATCCGCTTATTCCGTATTTTACATCGAAGAAGTCATATTACTTCATGAAACTTTTTTTAATAAATTCTTTATATAATTATGCAGTCCTGTACAGAGCCGAATTTTGCATTTTGGCTCTTAAAAATTTATAATAAATGAAATACAGCTCATGGCCAACTGCACCTAATCCGCCATGAGCTGTACCTAGTATGTACCTTTCTTGTCAACTTATAAAATATTATTTTAACTCTTTTTTTCTAAAAAATAGCTCTGTACAGGACTGCGGATGATCCTACTGATTACAAATATCACAGGTTTAACATGATTCTCTTTATTTTTTGGCCGTAATACGGGATAAGCGAATTCGTAATTCACGGCTTCCCGCGAGAGGTCTCTACTGTCTCTCCTGCCGACCCTTAATAAATAATTTTTAAATAAGATCTAAATCGTCAACTGATTATTATGGTTTTATCAGTAAAATGTAAAAATTTTTATGTCCCTGGCAATGCATTTTCCTTGTCAAATTTATTAATAAGTGCTACAATATGCGATTTTTTATAAAAATCAATACAAAAATTTTTTAAACTTAAATCAACGAAAAATTACAATGATCCATCCAACCATAGACATAGGGTGTGTTCCGATATACACTGCCAGTACTGGCAGTGCTGAAAAATTGTTCCGCTATTAGCATGCAGTGTGCTGCGACAGCATCTAGTTCCATCAATGACGTCATAAATGGTAGCCATATTGCTACTGCGGTTACTGCAGCTCCCGAGGTGAAGCAGTTACAGTGCAACATGGCGTCGTGCAATAAAATAGAATTGTTAGATGTAATGTTATATTCTTCTTCTTCGGAAGAACTATCACTGCTTTCATTTAAAATTTCTAATGCTATTAAGCAAATTGATAATTTACGATGCTTGTCCATGTTTGTTGTTATTATGTTTCACTGCAATATAATTACTGCAAAGTCGTTCCGAAATATAAAATCATAATGCTACTGACAGTGCCAAAGTAATTTCGGAACGTTGCGGCAGTGTACTGTTATGACGTCATGGATGGTTGTAACGCCGGCAAAAATGGAACACACCCATAGTAATAAAGATGGGCGCGCGAATTCTGGAATCACTAGAGTCCCTAGAAGTACTTTTAGAAACTCTAGAAGTTACCAAACTCTGATATCTCACTAGATACCTTACAATACACATTCGTAAAGCAGAAAGAATAAAAAAAAAATATGAATAAATAAAGTACGAAACATACAAGTTTATAAATAAAATAGAGTATCGTCAAGTAGAGAATAGAATGTCTTTAGAGCAAGAATGATCAACATCGCTACAAGTATTATTTTATTTTTAATACTTAAAAAAAATTTGGTTAAAGCGCAAAAATCAGAGATAGTTTGATATATAATATTTTCACCTAATATATCTAACTTTATCTTTATCCTATCTTCTAGCTTTATCTTTTTGTATATACTCCTTATACATACAAAAAAAATTCATATCGCACAATTTATTTTTATGCACATTTTTATTTTATATATATACATATACACATGCACGCACACTTAACAAAACTTAAAAAAATATAAGTTTTATTTTATTCGCATTATGAATCGGGTTCGTAAATCTTGAAATTAACTGCGCATAATTTGAGGGCACAATCTTGGTAGGAACAAGTACTTACCAAAGTCTCTCCAACAGGTATTCTTAAACGAGAAACATCCTCCTTTTTCAAGAACGACCAATCGCAACCGTACGATATACCACAATGCTTATTGTAATGGCCAATGATAGCTGTGTCATAACTACAATCAACAATTTTAAAGCCCTCATACATACATGCGGCAAATAAGTATTGACGCGTAAACGGATCCCATTTCAAACGCCAAATTCCACCTTTGAGATTAGTCTCGGACATTGGTCGTTTCAAGTTTCTCTTGTCCCACAACCTTAGAATCTCATCGTAACTGAAATGTTTAGTGTACTTTTATAAAAAAAACTAATGATAGAGAATAACCTCTCATTGCAATTCTTTATAATATTAAATATAGAAAAAATATACTTTTGAACATGAGAAAAGATCAGATTAATGATCAAATATCTTTTACTTCATTGGCAATTTATATTGAATAAAAACCGGCGGCACAAAAAAAATCGTAAATCAAGTATAACTTTATCAAACTAAAAGTATATAAATCTGTTTTTCTCGAAAAATCGTACATATAATAATTTCAGAAATCTTTTACCTTCCGGTTGCAAGCATGAATGGTTTAACAATGTTGCTGTGAATACTGGTGACACCAGAAGTGTGCTCACTATTACACAATACAGGAGTAGATCCTGTCCTGGTGTCGAAAGTTAGAAACTTGTTGTCATCACCTCCTGAAATTTAAAATATGTTAGTCTGTCAAAAATTTACACCGGCATTTTTCATTTAGGTAATATATACTGAAAAAAAATTGCGAAATTATAGCGTGTGCATTACTGTACCAGAATAAAAAATATTATCATTGCAATAATCAAAGGCCACGATCCACGCCTGGAATTCGTGCGCGCGTAACGTAAAGTTCTTTATCAGATTATTAGTTTCATGCCATGTGAATCGAGATATCTTTCCTTGACTATCGCTCACAGCAATATGTGGATTCAAATAAGAAGAGCATCCTCCAGTGGACCAATCCAACGACAATGCCATGACATCTTCGTTATCGTCACTGATTCTTTCTTCAGCAATTAATTGCAATTTTGTTTTGCTTTCCTTCTTTTTTAGTTCGTAAATTTGCAAATGTCCATTGGAGTTAGCAACAGCAAGCAATATTTGATTATTTTCGCTATCCGTGACATATATCCACTTCATATCCAACACGCCTGAAGTGTCTATTTGTTGCAATACTTGTAATTTTCCACCATCCGCCACGCGAAGTAAGTAAATTCGTCCTGTCCGTTTACACTTTTCATCTTTTGCACCTTCTTTATTTTCAATTAATTTGTATGTTCCACACGCCAATAAATCTTGAAACGGTTCTGCAGGACACCATTCAACGGAATCTGCCGGGAATTCTGTATCAAATTCGTCCAAAGTATAAAAAACTTCCTTAATTGCCATTTGTGGAAAATTGCCTGGAACAAAAAAAATTGCAGATATCCCTTACCAAATTTCTCACACGCATCAGCAATATTTAACAAATAATTCAAAGTTTATTGTATTATATAGATAAAAGCAGTTTTATATAATCGTATATAAGAAACTTACAACATATAGAAAGATTAAATATAAGTATATATCATATAATCAATAAGTTTTATTTTTCATTATCAACTTTATCTCACAATTATAATGATTTTAAAAATGCCTCACCTATATAAAGTCAAGCAGTCTGTGCAATCTTCAAATAATAAAATTTAAAAAATGCAATTTTGCAATTAATGCCTTTATTACAATTGATGGATGAATATGTATGTATATATGTATGAGACTCAAAGAAAGATATAATATGTATATGAATAAGAAATAAAATAAATGTACAAACGCGATTCAGGAAGAGTAAACATTTGTGGTGAGAGCATGCATACATACAGTTGTTACAAATAAATGAGAATATAAATCTGCTATACAACTTTTTCCCAAAGAAACATAACTTTTACACATGCATACAAATACTATGGGTTGTTTTATCTAAACTACAAATTTCTTTTGATAAAAAAATTTTATTTGCCTATAAATATTACAATATTTAAGTATAGGAACACACATTTTTGTACCATTTTTACATTACATATATAGAAAAAAAAATTCTCTTACATTTATCTTTTAGATTTATAATGATACTACATTATAATTATATCGAGCTAATAACTTATGCAACAGTGTATATAATTAATCAGATTATATAAATTTTTATATAAAATTATTATTGCATAAATAGAAATAGTGACTATCTTGTTTATATTTGTACTATAATTATCGATATATATTAATGAGGCTTAAAATGGTATGGCAATACATATAATATTTTACGACACAATGTGTATCATTAACCGATTTGTCACATTACCGATCGGCTCATTCGATTAGGCGGCTTATTAATAGGCTCTCGGTCCAGTGAAATAAATAAATATATAAATATTATCAAGAAGAATCACACAGAAAGAAAAAAACAAAGCATCTCAGAAAAATTGTAAATATAAAATGGCATGTTACAAACTAACTAGTTAAACTAATAAATTTAAAGTATATAAAAAAATATCACACTGTTATGATATGTTTCTTGCTAGTGTTAATTATAGCATTTTACATAACAGTAAACCAAAAAAATCTCTGATTCTTTTTCTGAAGTTTGATTAAGCACAATTCGTTGATTCATTAAAGAAAAAATTATTACTTAATGTTTCAATTGTACATAATGCAAGGGATTCGCGACAAAAATATCTTTCTTACAATATTAGATTTAATTATAGAATCTATTATTATTATTCTAAATCATTACCTTATACAAATTACTCCTTCTCCAATAATACTTTGAGTTGGTCAAAATTCGAGGTAGAATAAATACTGTTAATAATAGAGTACATATATTTTTTCATATTAAATAGAGAGAGAGTCTCTCTATCTCTCTCTCTCTCAGAAGAGAAACAGAATATACGGTTGTTATGATATCAAGGATTTGAAAAACTTGTTTCATGATTATTTTAATAGAAGACATAATATTATTGGTATGCCTTCTTGGAGCTTTTCGTAGCTTCGACTCGACATTGTTTGACAAGACGACATGCTTTCATGAGATCGCGTTCAACTTTAGGCATTGTCTTGCGAAGTTTGCTACCAGTATAAAAAGGTTTAAGATCGCGACCTAGCTGTTCTATGATGCGTAGCAATTTTACATACTTTGATTGAGCAGGAACGGAAGACGAAGACACGGACGAAGACACGGACGAAGACACGGACAAAGACACGGACACGGTCTGCTGCGAGGACGTTGAATTCGGTATCGTCAACAACGGTTCCATAATTTTCGCAGTAACCCCTACGTTTTTGCGTTGCTTTGCCATCTCTTGTGCGTTGTTCTTATTTTAATATACCTTAAGAAATAATCGATTGACATAATCTATGAAGTCTGGATCTTAAAATCCACTAGTGACCAAATATTTCGTCAAATTATTCTCGCGTTTTAGCAAGAAAAAGTCAATCGTAAAACTTAGCTAACCTCTAAGAATAACACAGAGAATCGTTTCTATCGATTTCATGTCGATATGTTTTACAAACCTTAAATATTGTTTCGCCGTATCATTCGAAACACGATGAGCAGCTGATATGTAAATGATGTAAGATTGATAAAGTCAATTGTGCATGAATACGATTAGCGTAACAAAATAGTATCAGTTACTAAAAAAAAAAAAAGACCGAGCATTCTCTACGGCCTAGTTTACACTGATATACTTTAATACGTACTAAGTACTACATTGGCTAATCATAGTAATTCCTTTAAAGAATAGAACGGCTGTGATTGGACAGTATAGTATGATGAAAATGATTGACTGTGTGATTGGTCGATTTGCTTATGGCATTATGGTTAGGACTAAAATTTTTTCAAATGTACCTAGATGATCACGCATTATAAATCGTAACTGTTGTGGCACTGAAAGGAATTGGGGGAAAATCTTTGTAACGATTAGTTTGTGTGAAAGCTGTCCGACACATTAAAATTAAAAATGTAGTTAATGGAATGTAATATAATTATTTTTTCATCTTTTGATCAGCGATAACATTGGCAATTTTTCTCAAAACTACAGTAGCGGTACGTAAAAATGGCGCGACAAAATCGATACACAATATATATATATATATATATATATATATATATATATATATATATATATATCCGATTTAAAACTGCTGAATTTAAAAGAAGGCATTAGATATCGACATCCTTTGCATATATACCATGGCGCGAATTTGAACAGAATATTTGTTAACATTTGATTTTACAAAGTGAAAATTTTGATTTTTCGTTCAATATTTGCTTCCTTTTTATATATCTGTATCATGCGACACTATTTTCAATGAAATACAATCATTTTTTTACCACATTTTTACAGCGTTACATAATGGAATACTAAATTAATTCTATACAGTTTGTAATCCTATAATAAAAAGTAAAGTGACGAAAAGAGGATAAAAAGTATGACAAGTCTTTGAAAGAAGAAATATTAAGAGCATTGCATTGTATACAAAACTTTTATTTATTTAACGATATATATTTATGGAATATATTTATGGGATTATACTTTCCATTAGGTACATGTCGTTTGAAAAGCTTTTCCTTATATTTCTTTCCTTTACACACTTGAAACGTATACTGAGAGATTTGCAATGTACTCACCCGATGATTTTAACATAAACCGTAGTATATAATTGTCTCTTTATGTTTTATAAAATATAAATCAAGATTCTGTCCTTCCTCCCCTTCTCTCTCTCTGTCTGTCTAATGATCTCTAGAATATACAAATGGATACTCCATTTCATTTCAAGTTCTTTCTACATATTAAATTGCAACTTAAAAGTAGAGAGAAAGTTATCAGCCGCACACAGTTTCAATAAGATACGTATATGGATCGAGCACACAGCGAAGGCACTCCATCTTGGAGCTGTATCGCAAGACAGAGTGAAGAAAGTAGCGATTCTTTATCCCATAAACAAGATGCTCCATCTATATGCGTATATGCGTCGTCGTGTGAATCAGAGTCCAAATCTAAATATTCGTACAAAGCAACATCTCGTCAAATAATATTGTATAAGGCTAGAAGTATTCTAATCACTAGCTAGCTCGGCGACAAATCATTGTTGCGCGTTGTGCTGTGTCTCTAGCAGGCAATCCCGCACGGCAACTCTGGCTTGCTGAATGCCGTTCTTCAGCCTCTCGGCAGCACTGCGGCTACCCGCATAGGACAGACGAATGTCTCTGCCGAGCTCTTCGATAATCATTAACAATTTACCGTAATTGTTTTGACCAGGCACGGCCGGGAAATTGATCATGCTGGACGGGCTGGCCTGTGCCACTTGTACAGTTTGCACATTCTGTAAATTCCTGGGATTTGGCACGGTGATCACAGGTTCGGGAATACGTGGTGGTGGCGGCGGCGGCGGCGGCTGAATCTCCGACATTTTGGGCAGTGCCGGTGGATCGTTCAGCTTGGTGATTGTTATCTCGTTCAGTTTGGCCAGCTCTGTCAACTTGGCCATCTCGCTCGCCATCTTCGAGTATTCTGGTGATATTTTGGCGATATCGTTCTGCATGCTCGTCTGCATCTTCATCATCTCGTTCATCTTTGTTTTTTCATTCATCTTTGCAATCTCCTTCGCCATCTCGCTAATTTGAGCGATCTCGTTCAATTTCGTTATATCATTATTCGTGTATTTGGCCATTTCTGTCATTTTTACCATTTCATTCAACTTTGCTAATTCATTCATTCTCTGCACCTCGTTGATTTTGGCCATTTGCGTCATCTTCATCATCTCGTTCATCTTTGCCATTTCGTTGATTTTGGTAATGTCATTGTACTTGGCCATTTCGGAAAATTTCACCATTTCGCTCATCTTGGCAATCTCTTGCATTTTCATGTACTCCGTAGTTTTGGCATATTCCGCCATCTTTTCCATTTCGTATCTTTTCGCCATATCCTGCGACATCTTATTTAATTCAGAATTCATTTTGCTAAACTCTGCCAATTGAGCCATTTGAACTATATGCTCAGGTACTTTTCCCCTTTCCATCATTTGCTTCAATTCAGCAGATATTTTATTCATATTCATCTCGGACATTTGGGCTATCGTAGCGGGATCCGGAGGAGGCATTTTAGACAACTCTGCAATTTTAGAAATCTCTCTCGCAAGATTCTCGTCCAGACAACGCTTTTTTTTGGCACGATGCCTAGCCATTCGCTGAGCTTCTTGCATTCTCCTCAATGCCGCTTGCTCCTCAGTTTCCTTAGCTCTGGCGTTCTTCATTATCTCCACAGCTGTATACAATCTAACAGCGCGTTCCTCTCCTGTTTCTGACATCTATAATCTCGCATTTCCCTCACTGTCTTAAGGTAAGATTTTTTTCAGGCGTTAAGCATAACACACTAACACAAGTGGCATCGAATATGTCCTTTGTGCGATCTATCATTTTGAATCAAATTACAAAACAATTTCTGATAGAATACGTGGGTATTCAAGCTTGATCGATACCCTCCGAAATTTCCACTTGACTTATTTGGCAATTCAATTACACTTGTCCATTTATCTATACATGCCACAATTTGAAAAATAGATTTAATAGTCTGGAATCCACCTGGAAACAGACGAACAAGCGTTATAATACACAAATGATGACACAACATAGAGGATAATAAAATGTGCTCGTGTGAAACCTAACCAACCTTCTTTGTAAGAGAGGTAGCGTTAATGATAATATAATGGTATATTTAAAAAAATGATGGTTTAGACAAGTGTCTACGTGATAACAATCTGTTTAATTTCAAATCCGGAAGAAAATTATTGTCGAAAGTCGGTGATATATTTGTGAAAAATTTTAACAACCAAATTTGATATGTCCCGATTAAATCGCTTGCATCAGCGGTAACAGATTTCCCGATTGAAAGGTAAAAACGATATCGAATGATAAACTCGTCTCACGAATGTGCGACACGGCGACGAATTCGATGATGTGGGAGATTCTACGTTTGGAACTACGCGCAAATTGTCGGACTCTTCCAACGAACGCGTCGTCGAATATTCCGGCTCCATTGCCCATGCGACGCGACGCAAGCGACGCCTGACGCGACGCAAACGAGAAAGATTCGAAAAGTAGACACGTCTATCGCGTCGCGACGCATGCGCGCCGAGCTAAGAACGACATCGTTGGCAATCGTCGGTCGTCGTCGTCGGTCGTCGTTCGTCGTCGTCGGTCGTCGTTCGTTGTCGTTCGTCCTCATTTGTCGTTTTCTCCTCAACTCCTTTCAGCACACAGTTTAAAGTCGGTGATATATTTGTGAAAAATTTTAACAACCAAATTTGATATGTCCCGATTAAATCGCTTGTATCAGCGGTAACACATATTTCCCGATTGAAAGGTAAAAACGATATCGAATGACAAACTCGTCTCACGAATGTGCGACACAGCGACGAATTCGATGATGTGGGAGATTCTACGTTTGGAACTACGCGCAAATTGTCGGACTCTTCCAACGAACGCGTCGTCGAATATTCCGGCTCCATTGCCCATGCGACGCGACGCAAGCGACGCCTGACGCGACGCAAACGAGAAAGATTCGAAAAGTAGACACGTCTATCGCGTCGCGACGCATGCGCGCCGAGCTAAGAACGACATCGTTGGCAATCGTCGGTCGTCGTCGTCGGTCGTCGTTCGTCGTCGTCGGTCGTCGTTCGTTGTCGTTCGTCCTCATTTGTCGTTTTCTCCTCAACTCCTTTCAGCACACAGTTTACCAACACCCCCTCCCCCCACCCCGCAGCAACATCCATACGTACACGTACATACGTCAATCGACAACAATGGCGGACATGTTTCGGACGGTTTGTCGATCCGCTCAAACGCACGATCAACTTACTCTGGCGAGAAATTTGTCGATCACCGAGGCCTCGACACGCATCCGCGGTGTCCTTCGGACGTATCGCTTCCGTCGATCCGCGTCTCCTACCAATCTGCGCGCCCTTTCATCAAGTTATCCCAGGATAAACGCACAAAGGCTGCATCGGCCGACATGTAAGATTTTCACGTTTGGAGCCACTTTAAGGGGCCAAGCGGGGTTGTCGCCGATAGGCTGCGTGTGACGTGGTTGCGTTTATTGACCATAACCCCTTCCTACCATCGTCTGCAACTTTACGACAGACAGGTGTACGACCCGCGAACCGCGAAACTATTGATCGCCCGCGGCAGTGCGTCAACCTGACCTGACCTGACCTGACCTGACCTGACCTGATGTGAGCTGAGCTGACCTGACTCGACGTCCTTTGAGAGTCACACTTTCCGCACGTCTTAAAACGTATATATGCGATATTATATTGTTCGCCAAAACAATATATAGGTGATATAGGCGGCAGTCTCTGCAAAGGAGACTGAGAGACACTCTTGACCGTTCCTTTGACTGCACAGTGGAGATTGATCGAGACGTATAACCGTTTACTCTCTATAAGCGAGCGATGATCGCCAACAATCGCACGATAATTTGATGCTTTCGCGTCGAATCGCACAAAACTCTCATAAGCTGAAAAGACGCATTTTTGAGAATAAAATTGCGCTTGTTTCAAGATGCCGCGACAATGAACGACGAAATGACAAGATTGGAGCGAGCGATACATTATTATTGTCTTATACATGGCATCAGATTATAATAGAAATTTATATAAATAAGAAATAGTATGTGTTTGTACACTACTGATGACATTTAGAAAAAGTGAGTATTATAAAAATATATATACATTTTTGGTGTAAAAAGATTTTAAAAATATGTTGATAAACAAAGAGGATGATTTTAATAAATGTATGTCGATACTTTATAGGAAATAGACCTGTATGCTAAATAAATAAAAAATTAAATAATTACATTTTATACACTTTTCAATTTTTTTTCAGTTTTTTTTTTTTTTAAAGATTTAAGAAGATTTTAAAATAACTGTATGTAAATTGACAAAGTAGGACAGACTGTTCAATACAGTTGTTAAAGTCTTACTCTCTATATAAGAGCACTAGATCAAGCATATATATATATACGCATACATACATATGTTATATATGTTTATAGCTTATATGTCAAAAGAAAGATATGCCAAAGAAGATATTCTCTATTCCTTCATGATTCAAAAACTCAATGTATATTAAAATATATTAGTGCATCATCTATTTTTATATAGTTTTTATTTGTTTGGTATACAGATCTGGAACTTTTGCGGTATTGATATGTATTTATGAATAAACTTGCATAAAATATTAAAAAGGCTAAACTATGTCAATTGTGCATAGTTGAGGTTTAACGAAAATTACGCACAAGAGTGTAACAAAAATAAATAATTATATTTTGTATCATACAATGAAATACTTTGTTTCAGGTTATACATCTAAGGTCAATAATATATATTATCAAGAGAATAGTGTGGTCTAAAACTAAAGATTAAAGTTATTTAACATGTATATATCGCCATATGAATACTATTTTCTCTTATTATTAGTCATCCTTCCTGTATATCTTTTTTTCAAACTTTGGTCATGGCTTGGGTGGGAATTATTTGTAAATAATTAAAATTTTAATATTTGGAAACTCAACTTAGATAGTATTGTAGGCTGTCTATCTATCTCATATGTATATATGTATATGTAAATGTGATGCAATTGTGCATTTTTATATATTTCTACACATGTATAATATATATATTATATATGTGTAAAAGATTTCCCTAAATTTTTTAAATTTAGGCAACCCAATAAACTATGTTTAAATGTTACAACGAGCTTAAAGAGAATTTTAAATGTTATAAAATCTATAAAAAAAGTAAAAAAAAATTAAAAATTAAATTTTATTAGTGATTAAAAGTTCATCCAACCCCATTCTTCCTTGATGTTTCCATATCCTGAACCTGGCAACATCTTTTCGCGTAATAATACCAATCACCTAAATAGAGAATATATTACAAATAAATTCGCAAATCTTACAGTAAATATTATATAGACCTTACCTCATTTGTGTCATTTACCACTGGTACGTGACGTAATCCTAATGCTCTAAAGAGTCTGAATGTTCTTGGCAGTGTTGCAGACTATAAACAATATCACATGATGTTACATGCATTGCAGAGATATCTTAATGTAAAAAATACTAACATGTTGTAATGTATAAGGGCAAGGATTCATAAAATGTCTCAAGTCTATCGTAAAAGTTTTTTCTTCATCAGTAATGGCGACTTGCTCGATAGTCGGATATCTAGGATACTCGTTTCTAAACATTTTTATACTTAAAGACTTCTCCCAAAATTCCGCGTATTCATTAAATACTTTATTTTTCAAAAGTACTATTAACTGTGAACGCAATATCAGACCTCGAAATCGACCGTAAGAATTGATCTCAGCCTGAAAAAAGATAATATAATCAAAATAAATGTAAAAAGCTATGATGCTTGAAAAAGCATTCTAGATATTACCTGATCGCTACTTGGCGGATCGACCACAGGAAATCCATTGAATGTAACGCATTTTAAAAGTTCGACGATATGTCCTACGTTTTCGACAGTTTTTAGAGCTACTATTGGATGACTCATTATCTCACTTGCATAAATATTATTTGACAGTGGTGGCGATTCCCATGGAAGTAATGGAATACCAGCCATTTGCGTATGAATATCATAAATTCCCTAAAAAGTAAATATATTTTATTATTAAAAATACATATTGTGTGCGCGAGAGCGCGTGTATGTGCATCCACATCGCACATATACATATGTACATGCACAGTATACTTGCCTCATTAAAGAAATCACCAACCCATTTAGCCATTATAAGAACTATTATGACAGGTAAACCGAAAGATATTCCCTGTGTCGCTTCTATCAAGATCGCGGTCAAACTTATCGTCATTCTAACTACTCCTCCTAATTGTGCAGCAGCACCTAATAAAGCGTATTTACCAGGATCCAATACTTCCTATGAAAAATGAAATCATACATAACAAAGCGCGACTAGTATTTAAAAATTTTACATCAAGATTTTAAACTTAGATTTTTTCTTACACAATCTGGACAAATTCTCGAAAGGGCCGACCCAATTAATCTACCCCATGCAGATCCAATCAACAGGGAAGGGATGAAAAGGCCACTCGACATTGATAGACCGAAAGTAGCGGCAGCAAGAAAGAAATATAGAATAACAAAGATGGCCAGCGTTATGTCATTGTGAGATCCTACAAATACGTGTGTATATATATATATATATATATATATATTGCTTTTAATTATATTTATTATTATTGTTTATCATATGTTTATCATTCTAACCTTTAGGATCATGAAATAATGATCGTACGCTGCTTTCTGGAGTTTGAAACCACAAAGAGGCGACGGCACTGTACTGCCCTTCTGCACAATACATTTGAACTGGAAACTTGGTGGGATCATTACCTAATGGTTTACAGTCATTGATAAAGTATATCATCAAAAAACCCATTGTCGCGCTTAATATCGCCACCAGGAGAGCTTCAATTACTTTTAGCCACTTTTGCGTCACGAATTGCAAACGAAAACAAGTGATCTTGTAATTGACATGATTCCAAAGAGCGCCGAGTAATCCGCCAAACGTGCCCATTATCATGAACAGAGGAATCTCATAAATTTGATATGGAATTGATTCAAATTTTCCTAGATTTAATAAGCCTGGATAAGAAAGATCTCCCAAGTGTCCATGGTATGTGCTCAAGACCACGTTTAAAGTGAATGTGGTAATCATACTAGCAAAAAAGGTTCTCCATGTGAGACTTTGATTGAAAAAACTAGTCCCTTCTTCTATACTAAACAAGACTCCACCTAGAAAATTAAAAAATTGCAATTGTAGGGCGCATTTATATATATATAAATTTATTTATTAATATTTACCAATTGGCGCTCCGAAAGCCGCCGATACTCCGGATGCAGCGCCCCCGGACACAAAGTCTCGTTTCTCATGATCCTCTCTAAAATATTTGAATATTTTCAAATCTTTCCTAAAAGTGGTACTTTTACCCTGAGAAATTCCTGCAGCCACAATAGCGCCAGAGTGAATCATAGGACCTTCCTGCATGAAAATCCACGAGATATCAAATAACAAATGGAGAGCGAGAGCAGACTGCTTACCTTGCCTCCTGCTAAACCTCCGACTACAGTGCATATAACGCCAATAGTTTTCACAGCCAAAGTTTTAATACGTACAACTCGTGGTATTTTAACTCCATTCAAGTAACATTTTATTTGCGGAATACCACTCCCTGCAGCAACAGGTTCAATGTAGGATACTAGGATGGCACCTATTAAAACTGGTACTATATTTAGCACTAGCCACATTATATATGGTAACCATAAACAACCTTTTACCACACATTGGTCCACATCTATCGTTGATATAAGAAGACTGTATTATTTTAGAGCATATCATAGAGCATACATTACATAAATGAAATATATTATACATGACATACATTTCTTAAGCCAGCCATACTTTAAGCTGGATAGTTCTTCTATGGATATATCTATAAAGCATGCTATAAGGGCAGTACAAATTCCAATCAAAAGAAAGATGAACCATCTGGCAAAATTTTTTTTAACAACAAATTTATATCCCTTCTTCCTTTCTTCGTCTTGTAGAAGATAATTTTCACACGGATCATAATCTAAGCTCTGAAAATAATGATACAATTAATTTATTCAATGCACTACCACACGCAAGAGAAAAGATAAAATAATATATAAGAGAGTACGCGAGAGAGAATATATACAATTGCACACTTTTATACAAGCTCACAATCATTGCATGATTTAATTTAATTTGATTAGGCAATTACTTCGTAATTGGTTGATAGGAAATTGGTTGCTCCTGGAATTATGTCCCCAATATTTAACCTTCTAGAATGACTGGAGATAGCTTCTATGCTGCTGCATGCTACATTATTGTCGATAGTGCTCTATTGACATAATATGGAATATTTTATAAATATATTTTTAGAAACGGCTTCTTTTTTTTAATGAGCTGTCAAACTTGACTTACACGAAATCGTACATCGATATTCTCGGAGTACGATGCAAAATTGTTTCTCGGCTTGATTAACCTTTCTCTATCCTCAACGTTGTATATATCGAGATTATCGCCATCTTCTCTATTATTTTCTATATCGGTTCTATGCGCTGACGAATTCATCGTTTTTGACAATTTTTGAAAGAACGTGACAGGAATTAAAGATCTATTCGTCTATTTTCAATCGCATTTCTTAAGGTACAATTTCATGTGCTGCAACTCGTGCAGCAGAGAGATCACGTGATTGAAATGGACGAATGAGTGACGACGGTGTGGCCGCTGATTCGTCCATTTCGATCACGTGACCTCTTTGCTGCACGAGGTTGCAGCACATGAAATTGTACCTTTAGATGCCTACTCTAATCGAACATTGAACGCGTCGGAGCGATCTCTATGAATCGATAAAAGTTTATGCTCTAGTTGATCACAATTTCGCAATGTGACGACGTATGTACATATGTACACTGTCCGACGCCCAACAGCCCGATTCGTTCCGTTCTTCCGTTTCCCTATTAAACATAAGAGCGGGAATATAATATGTACCTATATATGATAGATAAGGTACATATTACGTTCACTGTATAAGTATTATATTTTTTGTAAAGGCTATTAATTTAAAAAGAATATTTAAGATAATAATATATTTTCATAGCTATTGGTTTATTTTACAAGATACATACACAATCAGATTCAAAGAAACTTTCAGCTGACATATATATATATATATACATATACATACACATTAAAATCGAAACGTAAATATAACGAAGAAAACTCTTAAAATATTGTTTACAATCTAATACAATGTAAAACATGTACATAGAAGCGGTTTCTTTCTGTTTTTCTCTCTTTCTCTCTGCTTTTAACATTAATTAAAATTTCGGCTTTCGACATTTCTAACTTCCAGAAACAACGTGAACAATATGTGTAGGGCTTCCAATCTAGCATTCTCTCGCGTGGGAATGTCCAAAAGATTGCAGACTACATCGACCAACTGTGGCAAATTGCAATCGAGTTCCGATAGATCCAATTGCAACTCGTTGAGCTTATCTTCCACCTGCAATGGCCATTGCTGCATCAAACCATCGATATCCGGCATCGCTCGGTTTAGCTGCACGGCCGGCGGATGTTTGCTCCTGTGCAGCTGATTCATGTCAGTGATCCACTTGTCAATCGACTTGCCATTTCTCTCGGCGTCCTCGACCCTTTTGACGACTGCCTGCCTGGCGGCTGCTCCGGCGCTTCTCGAATGACTACGAAGCTGTAGATGCAACACCGCAGGATCGGACTGTTCGGTACAGGGCTCGTCTAATACCGTCAGACCGATCTTATCCTCGATGCCATCGGGCCTCGGCACCTTTATGAAGGCGTCTATGTCGCCGACCGCCGGTATGTAATCGGGAATGAATGGTATCAGCTTGTAGTTCAGCTCGATCCTCTGCGGCGTGTATCTGATGACCAATCGATAAGATAAGTTTTGTTTGATCGAGAAGAACAATATATGGCTCTTTATAAAAAGAATTCTTTTTTTATTAATTTATTAATTCTATATTATTTCTACTATTTATTATTATTATTATTATTATTATTATTATTATTATTATTATTATTATTATTATTATTATTAGGATTAACAATAAGTAGGATATAAAGATACGAATAGCCCACACTTGCCTCATTATATTATGAAACAGTTCTTTGACCTCCGTCGATGCTTCCAGATTCTCGAATTCCTTGGGATCGTACAAATCAATCGGCTTTGCTATATTGGTGCTCTGTATATCATCATCGTCGCTCTCCTCACTGTCTGAGGGATCGCTGCCGATTTCCAACGATTTCTCGAAGCCGACCTCGTTGCTAGAGTATCTATTTGTTTGATATGCGACAATTTCAAGTTTTTTTTTTTAAAGTAAGTATAAATTAAAATATATTACCATAAATCTACATTTTTCTATTCGTCGAAAAAAGAAAAGTCACTATTGCAAAATAATTGTCACGTAGTAGAAAGATAATTCAAGTCTCGTAATCCGTACATTTGCTGTAATTTATTATTATCGGTATTATAATAACTTGTGCGCACGCGATTTACACCGCGGTTACCTTCTAAATTCATGTTTCCTGCCGCGTGGCGAATTGTCCTCCAACGTGTTCGAGCTATCGCTTTTCCTGGTTTTCCTGGAACTCGGGGGTCTATGGCTTACAGGGCTTTTAATCTCCTCAGCGTTGCGTACCACAATGGTCTCGTCGAATTTACCGAACGCCGGGATATCGTGCGTTCTCTCGTCCTCTTCGTCGCTGCTGTCCTTGATGTCCATGCTCCGCGCCGAAGAACGTCCATCGATGCGTCCTTCGACGATCGCTCTCAGGGTCTGTATGATGACGAGCGTGGATAGATCAAGGCACAAATCGTTTGGTCTTGTCTCAATCTCAATCTATTTACTATTGCCAAATTATGGCGAAAAGAAGAAAAGAATACTTTGTTCGCGGCATTACCTGTGTCGTGTGGTCGTATCCCGTTGATAATTGGAGGGGATTTGTTTTCATAACGTTACCATAGTTTTATCGATCGGTATTAACTGAGAAATATAAGCATGCATATCATGTTGCATCTATATTAAATAATAATAATAATTCAATTTGATTATTAATATATAATATATAAATTAATTAATAATAAGAATAATACAAACGCTTAAAATGCGTAAAAGTACGTGAAACGTGAAACATGTCCTAATTTTTTACAAACATAGTTGTTTGTGTAAAATATGTTTTAAAAATACATGTCTCTATTATCGTATTATAGATGTACAAATTGTATACACATGCCTTTTTGACACAGTTTCTAAATCTTAATTGGATGGTGATTTTCTCGTTTCCAAATGATTTGTTCATTTTACTCGTTTTATCAATAATAATTCTTGCGGTTTCTAAGGAAAAAAAAAGAGAAGATGGATTAGATGCCGCATCTCTCTTACATAATCACAGATGATATAAATAAAAATCTAACCACATACCGATCGTATTCAATCGTGACAATTTATTATAATGTGAAACAATTAACATTTATATTTTGAAATAATGAGTATTATGATATCTTTATATTTGTGTATATATATTTATTGGGATTTATATATTTTTGATTTTTTGTATAATCTTTTTTATTTTTACGTAAAAGCAAGTGAGATGTATACATATCGACTCGGGAAAAAAAGAAAAGATTCTAGCTGTGTTTTGAAAAAGATTTCCTGTCGCATTGTTTATCGTTAACACCAATGGTCGTATCGATCGTTTTATCGAATTCAATCTTTACACATGACATGACCTACATAATCCAATGAAAGACACTGTTCGCAATGATAAAGCTGCCTCCATTTTATGACAGACAATGCAGACAAGTGCAATAAATTGTTGAGCGATTAAAGCTCGCGCGTGTCGTTATCTACCGATAACGCACACGCCGAAAGGGTTAATCGTCATTAAAAACGTAAGAAGCAATAACCGTAATAAAATAAGAACCGTAATAAAATATTTATTAACGTTTGTCATAAGCTGATCGCAAACACATGTATGTATATGTATATGTATATAATCCCATGTACAGATATATCCACCGGCACGATGTGGAAAGATTGATAAAAATATAAAAAACAATGTCGAAAGAAGAAGCAACTGTGAAGACACAGCGTATCGTGCCGATGAAAGGACGATATAAATTGTAACAAGGAAAATAGGTAAAATTATCAAAAACTGTACTGTAATTATAATATAGTATCAAAAATATTTTATAGTTATCAAAATTAGCAGGAGCATACATTCCTCCCGCGCAAGAAAGATATTCTTGTCTCAAGTTGGTTGCGATAAATTGTCTTAAATTTCAAACAAATTTCCTTGTTTTGACTCTGATGTCGGCGTTTCATTTCAAACGCGATTGCTTCCCTTTTATTTTCGTTATATCGGGTACTTTCCATAGACGTGACCACTTCTGGTGCGTCTTATTAACCATTCCCGAGATGTCGTCTGAGAAGAGGGATGATTCATTTGTTTCTTTCGAGAATGTTGAGAATAGATAGAGCGCACGTTGTAATTTGAGGTTTTTGATTCTAAAAAAGAGAAAGAAAAGATTAACTTGGCGATTAAATGGATTTCTAACAAATATTTTCAATATTCGCATGACTACGCATCGCACATTTGTAATATTTAGATTTTTGTGTAATAGAATGTTGAAACTAAAATTTTCTCTTGTATCGCATTATTTTAGAAATTTTTATAAGAAATCAAAAGAAGAAATTAGGGAGAGGGAATATATATTTTCTTATATCACAACCCAAAATCAAGGCTGCGTTCCGATATTCACTGTTAGTGAATATACTGAAAATCTATAGTTTATGTCACGTGCACTATAGATTTTCAGTATTGGCAGTGAATAACGGAACGCAGCCCAAAAATCGTGCATAAGAAATAATGTTCTGTTTGCAGCTTTTTTCTTTCAATATGTGCAATGATAGATAATGCTATTAATTGATCTGCTTTCTACAAGGAGAGAGATCAATCCTTACGCAATGACCCTCTGCATTTTGAGAAAGCCGGATGCGAGATATTTTGCTTCTTAAGAACCACGTCGCGCGATGGATTGATCGAGTTGCAAGCGTGGAAGTAATTTATTAAGCTCGAGTTTGCAGCTTTCGAATACCAAAGAGGTGACGTATCATTCTCAAAAGCAGTGGAAATTCTGAGTTTAAAGAAAATGTAGAAAAAGTTGTAATTGAATCCCCTGTCATTTCTCTTTTATATAATTATATAATAAAAAAATTATCACAAATAAAATTATTTTAACAAATCAAAATTTTATTACTTTTCAAATAACTTTTCGAGTAACTTACGTCTCAATGTTAATGATATCGTGATCCGACGCCTCGTTCTTGGGGGAATTCGCAGATAGAATCATAAACGCAAAGAGGAGGCTACAAACAGTGAAAAGTACGAAAAAATCGGCGGCGGGATGCTGCGGCGCGATTCCTAATATCTTCGAATTCGCGTTATCAAAATTGTCCTCGGCTGACGTGAACCACGTAAGTTCGCGGAAAATAAAGTCCTATGATACATAAAGTTGTAAAAGTGAAGGTCGGTACCTTAATATATACAGCAAAAGATAAAAGTTGACATAACTTGCCGACATTCGCCGACTGATCGAGATAATGAAAAGTATGCGACATATTGACATAAATATTAATTAATGCGTTAAGAATATCTCGCTTCATCGCATTGTCAATCATGAACAGGTTAAGGATAAAAAAAGGAACGTACTCGTAGAAATATCAAAACTTGCTGAACAATTAATTGTACTAGATAATAAATGTCACCCAGATTGTCCATCATTAATTGTCGTTTATCGATCGTTCTCAAGCAAATTTAAACCTTTATTCTGTTTCCTGCAATTATATACGATTTTTCGTCGTGTCATTTCGTGCCAAGGAAAACATAACTAAAAAAATCTGACAAAGTTATCGCGAATTGAATCGATAGTCACATTTTTGTTCACACAATATTATGTATTGTATCCTTGATATTTAATTGTTATATAATAATTTTTATATTATATAATATATACATATATTGTAGAATATTATTATTGGTTTTGATTAATTTTTAGTTAGCATTAGCATAGACTTTAATTAGTATTAGTACCGACGAAATGTTCAGTTAATTAAAAAAAATATAGTACAAGATATTTATATGCATTTATGTTTCTTCGATATGTAATATGATTCAGAATAAGGCGGAATCCTATTTGCTCACTCTAGCATAACCTACGCGGGTGTGGACATTATTATTATGCATCTATGTAACCTATGTAACCTATGGACCTTGTACGATATACGAAGGGGGGAGAGGAGGCATAAGAGTCATGTGCGAGTAGAATTATACTTGATAATGTTGTAAAAGTAATAAAAAAGATTCTTTTCAAGAAACAAAGTTTTCCGCAACAAATTTCCTCGAGCTACATCCTGTTAACCGACAGATTAATTTATTCATTATACTTATGAAGTGTCTAAATAATACGCGGATCATCTTGCGGATGAGCACATCGTATTGGATTTCGCAAATTTTTCACAAACGTGCTAGCGTCGTAAATTTTTACAAAGGTGCGTACTTGCGCGCATTTGCTATCACATTCGTTTGAAATAGAAAAATTCCAATAATATTCTTTTAAACAACTTTTAAGATGAAGATAACAAATACGTAATATATATAGCGATACAGTGAATGTTGTAAATAGATTAAGATTATCGATTAATCATATTTGCAAATTTCTATACGATGACATAGAAAACCCAATATTCTAGTGATGAAAACATTTATTCTTTTCTGTTTGTCAGATTGAGACTCACAAAATTCAGATTGAAATTCATAATCCAATTCAATCAATTTTGTTATCGTGTTATGGCTTTTGACGTGAGCTGAATGACTTGATGATTATGGGGAGTCTCGGTCTTTTTTTATTTCTAAAGATAAAACAATGGCTAGTACCTTGAATAATTGAAGCGCGCATTTATCTGTTCTCTATAGCAGATTAAGCTGACCAAGATAATTTGATTGCAAATTAATTTCTGCAATAATTATCAAAGACTATTTTTATATTTCTTCAAATTAATAATTAAAGGATACTAATAATAATAAACTATTCCTAAAAGATTATATACTGGTGCTTTGTACTACTCTCTTCTCTCTTACTTTTACACAAGTCGATCAAATGGGAATCGTCAATTTTTCAAGCAATGTAAATATCTTATTGTAATCTGTGTCTCGAGTTTCTATGTGCAAAGATTCTTGAAGATATTTTTAAAAGACAATTTATATAATGTTAAAGTGATTTATTGTGCTCGTTACATCATGAGGAAGAGATGAAAACCAAAATGACGTGCATAAACCGGAGAACTAGTATCTAATCGGCAAAGGATAGCTTTATCCGACTTGGCGCGGATTTGTTGACCAATCTGCGACTAACGAGCGATACAGATCTCGAGAACCTCGTCCTCGAGTCGTGCGAATGCAGGAGCGCACATTGGTATCTTTATCTTGATCGTCGGCCGGGGATTCGCGAGCAAAGATGTCTCGTAAGTGAAATTATTCCAAGTGTTTCCCAGGAAGACGGATCGCGCTATCTTCGCCAAGAGGCAACGAATTTTAATTATTGACTGTATTTCACGGACCATTAAAATTTCCCTTGATAGAAATTTATAAAAAACGTGGATTAATAATACAAAAAAAAAAAAAAGAAAGTTAATGCGCTAGATTAAAAATTGCGAGTGAATAATTGTGCGTTTAAGCAGAGTGCTAATGTATCATGTGATATAACGGAACATCTACTACTTTATAAAGTCTAATAGGTGCATTGTCTATAAATAAAATGTAAATTGTAAATTGTAAAAAAAAGAAGATTATAATTTCCTTCAGATGGAGCATCATGAAATCACTAGTTTGAATTGTCAGTATCTTATCGCGAAGTATTCGCGAGTGAAGATTGAATAAAGATTGTGCTTCCCTCTGAGAGTGATTGCCAGCCGATTCCTGGCTTGATAATTATCAGTCGAAAGGTTGGAGGCAGTTTTTCATTCACGTTAATTAGCATTCCATCATCGGAGACTTGAATATTTCTCGAAGATTGAACCTTATTTCCTCTTGCGTTTCTTATCTTTTTGTGCAACTTGTAATGGTAAAGACGGAAAAGATGGAAGATGGCATTTACGTAAGAAATTTTTTACACGTAAAATAAAGTTCGCTTGGACACCGCGCCGTTTCTTATAAAATTTACTGAAATATTACAAATCTTTTAGAAACAAAGTGGATATTCTAACGAGGCGTTCCAACTGGACAGTTTTGACTCTCATGAAAATGTTCCACCCGATTATAAGACAGCGACGCAACTTGATAAACAGCAAGAACACTCTGAAAATTCAGTGCGTATCGCACACACCTACATATGTATATGTATCTTACGTTAAGTTTAGATGATAAAAAAAATATATAATTATATATTAATAATAACACATAAATCGTCTCAGGCAGTCACTAAAGGAGCTGAATGGGGAGGTAGATTGGAATTTCTAATGGCTTGTATAGCCACTTCTGTCGGATTGGGAAACGTGTGGAGATTTCCATTCACCGCGTATGAGAACGGCGGTGGTGTCTTTTTGATACCCTACATTATAGTCTTGATTCTGGTCGGAAAACCGTTTTACCTCTTGGAAGCATTGCTGGGGCAGTTTACCAGCAGATCCTGCGTGAAAACATGGCACATGACGCCGGCCATGAAGGGTGAGATGATTTGTTTTAGTAAAATAGAAGTAAGATAAAAATAATAATAAAATAAAAACAATCTTACTTTTGTTTACATAGGATTAATTTAACACTTGTATAAGAGTTCCCAAAATACAGATTTTTTTTTTAAATTAAAAATTGAGATAATTTCTTAAGATCTCTCTAAAAAAATCTTTCTAGAAAAAAAGAAAAAGTTTTGTGTGATCAAAGATGCTGAGAATATCATAAAGATAATAAATATTGCAAAAGATGTCAAAGAGAGATTTCTTTTTTATGCATTCAAGAATTACTTTAAAATAATAGACTTGTCTCTCAATTTTTCAATTAAAACTTATTCTTTTTCCTGCAATATTATGATTATGTAACACATAGAGATCTGCTTTCAGGTTTAGGATATTCACAAGCCTTTGTCGCGTTCTGCGTCATTTCATACTATGGCGCCTTGATGGCATTGACCTTATATTACTTGGCAATGAGCTTCCAGTCTGAATTGCCGTGGTCGATTTGTCGCACGGAATGGCGAAATTACTGTATCGATGCTATCTCAAACAGCAGTATCTCCGAGATTCGTAACGTCACCGTTCAAAGTTCCGCGGAGCTGTATTTCAGGTTTGAGAGTAAAACAATATTTTCTCAGCCCTTTTAAATGTTGATTTATTTTTTAAATCTTTACGCGATTTTCATACAGGAAACTAGTATTGCAAGAATACGAGTCCATCGAGAGCGGTATCGGTGCGCCGTCCTGGCAGCTGGCAATATGTCTATTTCTTAGTTGGGCTTGTATCTTTGGGTTGCTGTTTCGCGGCGTGAAGAGTACGGGCAAAGCAGCTTACTTTCTCGCGTTATTCCCTTACGTTGTAATGACGGCTCTGCTGATCAGAGCCGTCACCCTCGAGGGCGCCGTTAACGGCATTCTTTTCTTCGTCACGCCAAAATGGGACGCTCTGTGGAAGCCTACTGTCTGGTACGCCGCTATCACGCAATGTTTCTTTTCATTATCGGTTTGCTTTGGCCCAATCATTAACTATTCCTCCTACAACAATTTCGGACACAGAGTGGACAGGTAAGAAATTCGTTGAACCTTAAAATAAGATTTAATCATAATCATAAATATTACATTAGCTGATTTATATTTTAAATTCCCGTTCAAAAATTGTTTACTTATATAAATTTACATATCCGAAATATATATCATTTTCCGGCTAGTCATCGTCATTATTGCATTTTATTTTTCAATCGTATCTTTCACTTCTCAGTTTTTCCAGTTTTTCAAAGGTTCGCTCAAAGACAGCTATATTAAAATGCGCTTTTTACTTTATTCTATACATATATTTTATTTCATTTCAGAGATGTAATGATAGTGACAACGTTGGATACGTTTACCAGCCTGATGGCCGGTTGCACGATCTTCGGTATCCTCGGTAATCTGGCTCACGAGATGGGCACGACGGATATCACCAAGGTGGTCCGCGGCGGCATCGGATTAGCCTTCATCTCGTATCCGGACGCTCTATCGCGCTTTACTTTTGTGCCGCAGCTGTTTGCCGTAATGTTTTTCGTCATGCTATTTGTCCTCGGTGTAGGAAGCGCCGTCGGGTTGTGCGGCGTGGTATTTAATGTCTTTCGCGACCATTTACCCAAAGTGAGGCAATGGTTAGTGTTGCTCTTCGTCACCTCTTTCGGTTACGTCGTCAGTCTCGTTTACATTACTCCGGTACGTTAAATTAAACACTCATACTAGCTCTTAAGTTGATACAAGTATATCACTTTTATAAATATCATTGACCTAATCGATATCCTAAGTACCGATCGTAAGTCTACATTCGAGCAATGCAAAAATTCCAGTTTAGACCGAATGCGTTTAACGCTCAGTCTATTATTTAATATTGAATATATACATTTCACCGGTCTTCCATCTTGGCTTGCATCTATTTTAGTTACATGGGTTGTAAAAAAAAAAAAAAAAAAAAAAAAAAAAAAAAATAATTTTTTTAAAAGACTTCCATTGAAGAAAAAAAAAAATACACAAAATGATTATTTTAATAAATCAATATTTTGCTCTAGGATATATTTCAATAACAAAAAATTTTTAAGTTTTTTTTTGCATGTTTGGATAACAATTTCAAATATTTTGAAAGAGTTATAGAAAAAAATATACATATTTTCAATAAATTTGACATGGTCTCATGTTAAGATTTAATATTAAATGTCGATCACGCACACACACACAGGGTGGTCAATGGTTCATAACATTGGTCGATTACTACGGGGGAACCTTCGTGGCAATAATTGTCGGCGTTCTCGAGATAATAACTGTCTTCTGGGTGTATGGTCTGTCGAATTTCCTCGACGATATGGAATTTATGCTGAATAAGAGACTAGGTTTCTACTGGCGAGCGTGTTGGTTCTTAATCACACCCTTTCTCATGATCGTCATACTGATCTATACGTGCGCAACTTACGAGCCGCTTATGTACGACGGCGTATTATTTCCCGATTATGCTTACGGTCAGTAAAACTTTTTCGGTATCTTAAGCCCACTTTGGATAATAAAACTCTATATTTATAACTTTATATCCCGTGCATTCTAATTATTCAAATGTTTTTTATATTGCACTGCATATACAATGTCAGAGAAAAATTCTGTCGCGAGTTATGAATTGTCTAAAGTAGGCTTAAAAATCATTATCAGTCTTATTGTTAGCGACATGCGCCAAAAAAGCTTACTTTTTTATTTTTTAAGTAGGAGTAGGATGGTTTCTGCTGGCTCTAGGCATATCTCCTATAATGTGGTGGATCGGCCAAAAAATTGTCGCAAACAGAATATCATCGTCTTTTACGGAAGTAGGTATCTCAATATACACATATATATCAAATTCAAAGTATATAATATCAGAAAAAGCTGGAAACTAATCCTTAAAATTCTAAAACATATTATAGTCTGTCAAAACGGCATTTCGACCTGCGCAAAGTAAATGGGGACCTAAGAACCCGAAGATACACAGAGAATGGGAAACGTTTAGGACGGAGAAGAAATTAAGATTTCAAGGCGGTCTAATGAAGATGTTTTTTAAATAAAAAAAATCAAATTTTATTTATTTATTGTTCCATATTCTTTCTAATTTAACGTTGTAAGATTTTATGCTGTCTATTAGCTAACAGCTAACATAATGTATTGTAATATTGTAGAAAAAATAAATCATTTGTTTTTCTTTATACGTCTATGTGTGCGTTGTGTGTTTGCGCGCATTGCATATACATTATTTTATACATATTATTGCATATAATGTGTATTATATCTATTTTACAAATTATTTATTTATTACATTATGCACACATACATAATTATACACATACATACTAATTATATTAGGTTTTACAAAGATGCGCATTTTTAGTTGAAACTTTTCAAGATAAGATATTTTTTAATATCTTAGTACCAGAAAATTAGAACAGAGCTATACTATAACGAGACAAAAGGTGTGCACACGAATATTGAAAATACGACCGCGGTACAATGCCGGCGGTACTATATAACTACCGCTATGAATCATGTTGTTTGATTTACCTTTTTGAATTACAATTGGACGCGAATACATTTTGTGTAGAATGTTTCCGTTTCAATTATGCACGGACGTAGTTACGAGTCACCGGTCACATTACGTAATATCTGTGGACAATTTAGTTTATAAATTTTAAGATATATAATTTGTTTTTTGATTTGGTTCTTTTCTATATATATGCGTTTAAAATTGTGCCAGCGTATTATACCATAAAATGGAAACTAGCTGAATAAAATATGTATGTTATAAAAATATCCGTTTGATTGTTTATATCTCATATTAAAACTTCTCTCACGCATTTGATACTTGAAATTTATTTGTGATCTAGATAAATTTTCCTTGTTTATTTGTGCTTGGGATAAAGATATTAGTGATATTACGCAATTAATTTATGCAGCAGAATGTGTTATGTAAAATTTTACGTGTACGGATATATAGTCAATTGAACAGGGTATCAATCAATTGAACTGAATTGACGATTAATCTGTCAAGACTTGTAAGTTTTCTTTTCTATTTCAGCTATTTTATTATTCTCTTATTTATATTTATGTAATTATACTTACATAATTTTAATAAATACTAACTCATACTATAATTTGATATTCTGTAATTGTATATTAATCAAAAGTATTGTCATTATCTTGCAAAGGTGAAAATAAAAAGAAAACGGGAGTTTACTGTCGTTTACGTTTGAACCGTCTTGTTATAGAATGCCATTCGGATTAGTCATTTTTGTGTGGGCAAACTTTAACAGGTGTGAGAATCTTTAAGCAGATAGTACGCGGTACGGTGTAAGATTTTAACATCTACGATAAAAATTATCTTTTATTATTTCCGTAAAAAAATTTTTCGATGCGCATCGTCTCATCTATGTTTCATAATATTTTCTTTTTCGTTGTACGACAAATTTGCAAAAGATCACTTTTATTTTTTTCTTCAGAGAAATGACATTTGGTTAAATAACAACTTTCGATTGATCTTAAATCTCGATTGTTGACTTTAATACTTTCCTTTACAATTGCAGAAAAAAAAACATCAAGAAATATATTTTCCGCTAATAAAGTTACATATCAGAGAAATGGTTAATTAAACGCCGCAAAAGTAAAAATAAATGAAAAGAGAAGAGATTTTTCGCTATGTAATACACCTATTATTACACAGATATATTACGCGACATGAAAATTAATGCAAAAAACAAGCGAATAAATAAAAGATGCGACAAAATATGAGAGTATTAGGAAGGAGAGAGAGAAAAGAAGAGAAAGATAGGAGAGAGAGAAAAGAAGAGAAAGATGTCAAAATTTTATTGAGCTTGATTACTGTGATTAACAAGTAGTGCGCGCGCTTTAATCTGACGGAAAGGATTGCGCGTACAGCGTACAGATCGCTATATGCACGTATACGTTGCGCGAATTCTTTAAGCAGTCTATCAAAGACTGCCGACTGGCTAACAATAAGACGCGCGTAGAATTTCGAAAAAAAAGAAAGTTGAGCAGTGGATAATATCGTGCGAGTAAGAAACGATTGCTTTTTGTGCCGAAACAAGTCAAAATGGAACACACAAAGGTTCGCGCATATATTATGCAAATAAATAAATTAAAAAAAAAATATATATATATATATAAAATTTTGCGTATACTATTATATATTATAAAATTATGGGTTATTAATTTTACTATGTCGATCATTAGTGTGTGTAAAGTGTGAAAAATGTACGAATAAAAAGAAAATTGTTAGGAGAAAAAATTAGTAAATTTTTGGAAGGAAAGATATCTTTATCTTTATCTTTATTGTAATATTGACAGCAAAGGTAAATATGTAAGATGAAATATATAAATATATTGGGAAGTTTTAAATTTTTTAACAATTATTATTTGTATATGTATATATATTTTTTTTCGCATACATGTATACTCTATATAGCTTTAATTTTAATTATATGATATATCAAAGTAGAAAACAAATAATAATGTAATAATGTATAATAATATTTTAATTTTGTAATATTTTAATTTACAAAATTAGAAATGTATAAGCTCTTTAACGCGCGCATTATAAACAATGTTATCTCAAAACTGCAAATTGAAAATTTCTTACAAATGGAGAGATAATTTCCAATACTTGGTATTTATTCATATGATAATCTTTGTCTGTACATAACGTCGGTACGATCCTACTTGCGCGGATAAACACGAATGTTTGCGGAGATATAAGTTCGTTATTTGAGCACTTACATGTTCTCATTTTACTCTCGTTTCATTAAGTAGTCATTAATTATCACCGTTCAACTGCCAGTTTAAATCTCGAAAATACTTGTGATTAAAAAATGTATCAGAAATTAATTCATGAATGTACTTATCCCTTTACGATATGATAATACCTGTTGCTTACATAATATTAGAGATTTTGCAAGACACTATAATAAAACATTAAATCGAATAATTTACAATGTTGCTGCAGTTTCATTATTATCTATCTTGTTACCGTAAATTAATCAATATTTATTGCAAAAGACATACACTATCTATTGTAAGTATTCTTAACCATTTTTACAATAAAATAAATACGACGATCATGTCTATTAGTAAAAGAGCATTACGCAATTTGTTTGTTAATAATAGGCGCATCCTACAAATTGTAATGTGTACGATATCAAAGCTAAAAATTTTTTATTCTTTTTAAATTAAATTGTCATTAATTAGTAAACATAGCGAAATATGTCATCAGTTGATTGATTTATACATGATTATACATTTTTGTTTACTTTATGCAAAAAGGACGCAGTAGCGTTAAGACATCAAAATTATATAAATCTTCTCCTTTTATGTTTAAAATTGTCCGACTGCTAATATGACTGACAGCATGACATCGCGGAACAAATTTAATAAGAATTTGCGATTTTATTCTAATTTGAGATGTATATATACTATATATATATATATATATATATATATATATATATATATATACGTACTGTATAATATGTTCATATTTATAAGACGGATTATACAAGAATTTCGCTAGACGAGTCTATCTACAAAGACAAGGGCGAAAGCGTGGTGAGGGTCCTATCGTCTCGCGCTTAATAAGATCGATTGGCCATACCCAGCCTCGAAATTCACTTTTACACTCTTCTTATTCCCGGAGTGACTATATTAAAATAATAGTGTGATACAAATGTTAAACTATCCAGATAGCCAACAACATATTTTTGCGATGTCATATCACATCGTATCATATCAATAACATTCTCATATAATTTTTTGAGAGCAATCTGATTACACACAATGTTACGATCAAGGAGCGTAAATAATTTATATCTTTTATGGCTGCGCAATGTTATCTGTATTATGGAAAAAAAGTCATCAGATAATAAATAATTAATTTTTCAGAGTTACGTCATTGATACGGGCCGAACAATATTCCAGCCATCCGTCTTATCAGCCGACGGAAACGAAATTAAAAATAGAGTAAATTTAATAGACACATTATATATATGTATAAATTGGAATGTTTTACTTCTCTTTTTGCGAAATTTTTCGAAATTCTATTTATTGATTTCGATGTTGATTAAGGAGGAAGACGTGATAGAGAGAGCTCAATGGAAGAACGGAGTGGAATTTCTCATGTCCTGTGTGGCGTTCTCTGTCGGTCTTGGGAATATCTGGCGATTTCCATATACAGCTTACAAGAATGGCGGCGGTGCTTTTCTCATCCCTTATATAGTGGTACTCTTCGTAATCGGCAAACCCTTTTACTACATGGAGATGATCCTTGGACAATTCACTAGCAGGTCCTGCATTCAAATCTGGTCCGTGTCGCCCTTATTTCAAGGTATTTTACTTTTCTTTCTCCCGTAAAAATCAAAATCTAATTAATCCTGGAAAAAAAGTGCCAAATAGAAATTAATCTTGTAAATATACGAATATCCAGATAGTTGGATGCCTAAATCAATTACAAAAAACTGGAATATTTAGATATTTATATACATATACATACATAGATATATGTATATATAAACAGAATATATACAATTGTTTTAACTATAGTACTTGGATTTATATGGTAGGACGGTAAATTTTAATATTTATTAACTAGGTATCGGCTATGGCGTAGCAATATCAGTATTCTCCGTGATTACTTATTATTGCGGCCTTATGGCTTTGACACTCTATTATATGGTGGCCAGTTGTCAGTCAGTACTTCCGTGGGCCTATTGTTGGGAAGAATGGGATGACGCGTGCTTCGATAGCTCGTCGATCGGGCAAGCGAAAAATGGAAGTACAAGTTCCGCCGATTTGTATTTTAGGTATATTAATCTTTATACAATGCGCAATTACACAACGCTATTCATTACATCTATTTTTATATCTGACGCTATTATTGCACATTTGTTCGTATTATGTACATACATTAATATATATCGTAAATTATCAGAAGCATTCGTAACTGCATCGGGTTATTCTTGAAAACTTATCGCCCGACAAGATTCAGGATCAGAATTTGCTAATATCTCTTACAATTATAGAGCAATGTGATAATAATGTATTATACAATATAGTACATTAAATTGTATCATCGACATTATCTCTCATCTATCGTATCTTTGTTTACATTTTCTTCATCTTTGATCTCTATCGTTATCTTAATTTTAGATTATCAATTTTTCTTACTTTTTTATTATTCTGAGCTAATATTTATTATATTTTTTAGGAGAAGCTTAATCTTCAAAGCAGAATAAATATTTCTAGCCATCTTTATACATATGTTTAGAAAATTCGTCCTTAATGAAACGGGAATCGAGAATGGGCTCGGGCTACCTTCGTGGAAGCTGGTCTTGGCGTTGTTGGTCAGTTGGATATTCATCTACGTCGTGATCTGCAAGGGTGTGAAAAGCACCGGTAAAGCGGCTTACTTTCTGGCCCTTTTTCCGTATATCATTATGATCAGCCTTTTGGTTAGAGCGGTGACACTGGACGGAGCAATAAACGGCATCATCTTTTTTTTCGAGCCCAAGTGGCACAAGATTCTGGATCCGGTGGTTTGGTACGCCGCCATCACTCAATCATTCTTCTCCCTCGGCGTGTGCTTTGGCGCGGTGACTATGTACTCCTCATATAATAATTTTGAACACAACGCGTCCAGGTGCGTGTTATTTTTAGAAATCTGAGATATAGTTTTCAATTTTCAACAATTTTTATTCAAAGTTTATTAGAGAATTGATGGAGGATCTCTTGCAGAGATTGTACGATTGTAACGACTCTGGATCTTTGTACCAGCTTGATGGCAGGCGCGACAATCTTTGGAATTCTGGGTAATCTTGCTCATGAGATCGGTAGTGATGACATTGGCAGCGTCGTCCGCGCCGGAACAGGTTTGGCTTTCGTATCCTATCCGGAAGCTCTGGCAAAGTTTACAGTGGTACCACAGCTTTTCGCCGTACTCTTCTTTTTAATGCTCTTTGTCTTGGGTATAGGCACTACCGTTGCCTTCTGTAATGTTATCGTCAGTATTATTAAGGACCAATTTCCACAGCTTAAGCAATGGAAGATTGCCGCTGGCGTCGCGATCTTTGGTTTCTTAGTCGGCATTGTCTATTGCACGCCCGTAAGTTTTAAAAGACAATTCCTTTTTCTTTTAAAATAAAAGGGAGAATCTCTATCAAATTCTCTTCAATCATCAGAAAAAAAAAATGAAATTATATATCAAAGTAACAGAGGGTTTATATATTTGTATAATAATTTACTTAATAATAATAATGTTTATTGAATCAAACTTTGAACTTTTGCCGAAATCATTTCAGGGTGGTCAGTACATTCTTAATCTGGTAGATTATTTCGGCGGCACTTTCATTATCGTATTTTTAGCTTCCTTCGAAGTGATTGCCATTTCCTGGGTATACGGTAATAATCTATTGTATATAATACATTTTACTCTTTTGTGAAGCTGCTTTATGAAATTATTAAAAAGAGTGACTCGATTCGCCAGGCGTCGACAATTTTATGGATGACATCGAATTTATGATAGGAAGACGGCCATCCTTTTATTGGAGATTCTGTTGGTGTTATTTGACTCCCCTATCCCTATTCACTATTTTGATTTATTTCCTGATTACTATAACGCCGCTCACGTACAACGATGAATATTATCCAACATCCGCATACGGTATACCTCTATGCTATTTGTATACATTTTTTAAAATTACAATTAAATTAAAGAATTATAATTAATATATATATATATATATATATATATATATATATATATATATATATATATTTATATCTTTATTTATGTCTTGTGCAATCCTAATTCTCACCGACTTATTCAGTCTAATTCGAAATTCCCTTTAAAATTAACGCTCAGCTCTTAGCTAAGATTTTATTGCACTCGTACTTTAGCTTTTTCAGGTGCTGTCATTTGGATATGACGCTGAGGAACTTTTCTTACCTTTACTAAGTGTGATCGTTTATACGTCGTATGTATTTGTAGGCGATTATGTTGCACAAAAATAATATCTTTATTTATATTACAGTTAATGTAAATTAAAAATAGATATAAGTACAATATTATAGAGCATGTGTAAAAATTTGATAAAATAAAAATTAATTATGTAGTTACTCACAAAAGCTAAATTTTTTGCATATATATACATATATACTTATGTTAGATAGAAATTAGGAGACGAGATGTTTCTCTCATAAGATAATATCATATTAATATTAAAATATTTGTTCACTTTTTACAGCTGCAGGTTGGACTCTTTTGGCTTTAGGACTCCTCCCGTTTCCTTTGGGAATGATTCTTGTTGGAATTCGAAATAAAGATAAGACATGGCTAAATGTAATTCACATTTTTATATATGCATTTTACTTAAATATTGTTTCAACATAAATTTTGGATGTGTCGTAAATCTAAAATGTGATTGTTCTTCAATTTCAGATGATTAAGCCGAATGCCAATTGGGGCCCGAAAGACCAGAAAAAATACAACAAATGGAGAGATTTCAAACAATCGAAAACGATATCGCGAACGTGCGCGAAGAAATCAAAAGTTATAGCAACGCTGTTTGGCAATTATTGACAATTATAATTATAATCAAACAGTATTAAAATCATTATATTTTGTATTTATTAATCACAGTGACCATATAGTGATCTCGAGTAAAATGATTTCAAAACTATATCGCAGCTCTTTATTGCGAATTGGACGTTACACATAGTGCATGTAATATTATATATACAAACGGAAATGAATTTATACGAAAGCGCGCGTTAATGAAGCCAACTACGTATGTATATTGGCTTTCTAACTACAGTATTACTGAACACAACTGCATGGGGAATTATCTAATATATTATATTAAATATATGTATTGTATAAAGTGATATTTCTTTCAATTTAATGACCTTATGAAACCTGTATAAAATTATCATCTGGCAATCTTGTCGCGACGTGAAATAAATATAAAGTACAATAATTTTCATGTGCATAGTTGAGAAATTAAATCTCTCTCAATCCTGCCATGGGGATCCTGTCACGGCAGAAACGACTGTACAAATTCGTATAGTATATATAAAATTGTACGTTCTACTTTGGTTCCATGTTTAAAAGAATGTAAAGTATCTGTTTCCAGATTGGCTGAATTCGCTTCTCTCGAGCTCTTGCTCTCTCCTCCTTGAAGATTTTCCAATCTTTGCACTGCTGCACTTCTCGTGGACCCCATCCGTTCGCAGGTACGAAACCTCTCTTCAACATCTTAAACAATGCAACGATGTATTTAATAACGATGAATTTAATTGTTCAATTTTTAATCTCTTGTAAGATGTGGCACAATTTTTTTCAGAAATCCTCCGCATAATTCTTCAAGCACTTGAAACAATAAATTATTATTATTGTGCTAAAAAAGTTTTTCTTTTATTTCTAAAACTTTTTTATATAAAAGATTTTTAATTTTTATCAAATTTTCTTGAGAAAAAAATGTATCAATTATAACATCATTTACTATTAAAATTAGAACAAATTATTTAATGCGATGGCTTATCTGATAAAATGTAGATTATTTTGTATTACAAAGTTCTAAATTACAAATTTTCTTTTTTCGCATAAATCGATTTACCTGCGCGAGCGGCAATTTTCGATTCTTCAGCATCGCAATCAGCATCCATAGCGGTATCTGAAGAACACCTATGCAAAGTATCGTCCATCCGGCGGCATGTGCAGATTCCGGCAATAATCTTCCACCATAAGTTAAAGGCGACAAAGTAACTACTGTATAAATAAAGATCGCTATTAAAATCAATGGCGTAACTATAAACCAACATATCCTCCAATAGATGCTCGGTTGTCGGTCCAGCATAAATTCCAAATCCTCCAAAAAGTTTTCAAATCCTGCCAAAAGATAAAAATATTGTAATTTTATCACTATCATTCCGTAACTATTTTCGAATAAACTGTGATATTTTCACATTAAAACGCGCAATTAAATCACGGAATAATAAAGATTAAATGATGATAATTAAAAATAGAAAGAGTTGAAAATGTAATTAATGAAAATATAAAAATTTCTTACCATATATCCATATCACTCCGGTCATCTCAAATGATGCCAAGATGAAAACGACGAATGAAGTACCGTAATAATCTACTAAAGTTAGGATAAACTGACCACCCTGAAAAATTTACATATCAATTAATTAATTAATTAATTTTTAACACGAGAGAACGTTTAAAACTAATTCTCTTTTATTGGTTAGTATAATTTTATACCGACTGGTGTTACATAAACTGTGCCAATTAAGAATCCTAGAAAACAGGTCGGAACAACAATTTGCCAAGTCTTCAGCTTTGGAAATTGTTCGTTTATTACTGTAATAATTCCAGTCATCATTCCCACAGCACTACCGACACCAAGGACAAACATCATTACGAAAAACAGTACGGCAAATAGCTGCAATAAAATTTATGATTTTATTTTTCAGAGAAAAACGATTAGAGGATATTCTTACTCGGTATATAAGTAATAAAACTGGACATGATAAAAATAAATCTATGGTATTTTAGTTTTAGAAAAACACTTTTTGTGTGTTTGTATGTGTGTGTGTGTGTGTGGTGCACTTTATCTTTGCTATCGCGTCTGGATAAGATATAAATGCTAGACCAGCTCCACCTTTGACTACTTTGGATATATCTTCTATTCCTAACTCGTACGCCAGATTGCCGAGAATCCCGAATATCGTGCAGCCAGCCAAGAAACTCGTAATTGTATCCAGCGAGGTAATTATTATCACGTCTCTAAGTTCGTACATAATAAATATAAGCTAATGGAGAGAAGAAGAAGATACTACTAGCGAAATGAAAAAGAAATTATTATTATTTATATTATGTCGAAAAGTTTTGTGCAATTTTTAAAACCTTTTTATTTGTTTAAAATCTAATTTTGTTAATAACTGAATCTATCTTCTCACCTGTAGATGTTGTGCTTGAAGCTGTTGTGCGAAGAGTATGTAATGATGCTACCGAAGCATACGGAAAGCGAGAAGAAACACTGCGTTACTGCGGCGTACCAGACGGTCGGTTCCAAGAGTTTCGACCATTTCGGGGTAATAAAGTAGAGGATCCCGTTCATCGCGCCATCCAATGTAACCGCGCGAATCAGCAGTGAGATCAACACGATGTACGGAAAAATGGCAAGAAAATAGGAAAATCTCCCGGAGCTTTTTACACCTTGAAAGAGTATCATGCAAACCGTCGCCCAGCTGGCAAGAAGGCAAAGCGTCAATTTCCAATCCGGCCATCCGATTCCATCGTCGATACTCTCTTTTTCGTGCAAAACCACTCGTCTGCAAATCATTTTATCTTAATTTATATCGAGGATAAGCTTCTTTCTCGACAAATATACCAAAGAGAAAGATTGCTCTGTTTATTTTATAAATATTATACTTTGTTTCTAACATTACGTATATGTATAATGAAGTCTTAAATTTCGATCGAGACTATACGTATCCGTATACATACATTCCGATATAGTATATACATACACATATAGTACATCTAGTACGTCCGAATGTCTGATATAACAGAGCTGCGTTTTAGTTTGTATGGAAAGATTCTCTCCAAATAAAGTCTAAAGTTAGATAAAAATCTTTTCTAATCTTTTTACTCACTTTCTCGCTCATTAAAGAAATTATAAAAGCAGAATTTATTACAATAATATTATCGTTTATATAACATTAGAAAATTATTAATTTATCTAACAATAACATTTTTCTTAAGTAGAGTCAGTATGGCTTCTCATAAACCTATCGTTAAAATTAAGATTGCGATTTGTAGAACATATTACAGACATCCTATCTGAGATTCAAAATAAAAGAACACTTACGAAAAGTATAATTCGGCCGAGCTTTGCTTGCTGCTGCCGTTTAAGAGATTATCGAGGATATCGACGCTTCCTTCCGCTGTACTGTGATTTCTCTTTGTACTTGAGTCGACACATGTGTCGCCCCATTCCTTTAGACAAGTAGCCCAAGGTAACTCGGCGGAAAAAGAAGCGATCAGATAATAAAATGTCAACGCCATCAGTGAGCTGTAGTAGGTCGCTAACGCGACAGTCGAGCAGAACTGCGCCCATCCGACTCCTATTGATGTAAGAAGCGTCTGTTTTTAATTTAAATGGGAACACCGTGCGCATTAAAGTCACCGTCGTGTCGACTTGCGACGTAATCGCCAACACGTAACGAATCGTTCGATCGGAA